CCTTATAACCGTAGTACGATAAACACAATTAAGCATGCACAACGAATGGCCTGTATAAACGTAAGTTCGTTATATCCGGCAGTTCGTTACAAGCGTGTTCGTAGTTAACTGTTTATTGGTCGTGTGCATACAGCCGGGTACAATAAAAAATACACACCCTCTTCGGGTAAATTATTGTGACATTGCTGGTGCGAGGTGGCCCATCCCATCAAATGAGTGACGGAACTATAGTCTGTTTGCATTGAAAACGTACCGATGAATGTCAATTTAAACAAAAAAGTAAATCGAATAAGATGAAATTAAGATTGCGAATCCTCATAAATTTACATTGCTAACTGACCATTTAAATCTCAGAATTTGATTCAACTTAAGATAAAAGTTGTTTAACAAACGATCATCGTTTCAAATCGCTATTATTGGTTTGTATTACAAGGGTGTATGCACATTAAATGAAACACCGAGAACAAGTAGAGTTGGTCTAAGTTAACGCTCATCACGAACCGCACGTGCATTTGTTTCACTGTGCAATCTACTGCGTTCACCCCCTTGTAATACAAACCAATAATAGCGACTTGAATCTATGATCGTTTTTTAAACACCTTTTGTCCTACAATGATTAAAATTCTGAGATTTAAATGTTCAGTTGGTAAGGCAAATTTATGAGGATTCGCAGTCTTAATTTCACTTTATTTGATTTACTTTTTTGTTTAAAGTGAAATTCATCGGTACGTTTTCACTGCAAACAGACTATAATACAGGGTAACATACACTGGCGTACTTTCATGTCAAGTATTGGTTTTGTTGTATAGCGCCGCACTCAGCAGTATTCCAGCTGTATGACGTCGGTTTGTAGGTATTCGAGAACGGTCCAGACAACCCAGTGATGAACAGCATGAGCATCGATCTATGCAATTGGGATACAATGACATGTGTCAACCAAGTCAGCGAGCCTGACCACCCGATCCCGTTAGCCGCCTCTAACGACAAGCATGGGTTACTGAAGATCAATTCTAACCCGGATCTTCACAAGTAAATGTTGTATGTACAGTGCTATCATTCATTACACAGATAACGACATCATCACAGACACTCTGGTGATTATAATTAACAAACAAATCAATGCATTGAAATTGAATACCATGCATGTCAGTTAGCGAAAAGAAAGTTCACATGTCAATTCTTACCCGTATCTTCACGGGTCTTTTTGTCTAAAACGAATTAAAGCAAACGCTTTTTATTACAGAGTTGTTAGCTCTTTCCGTATCTCGCACACGACCCTTCATATTAGACTCATCGTTGTTGTGATGGAGTGACTTCTTTGTAACAGTTCTATCTAACAAATCACCTTTACAGTGTTGCGTTGCGTGTTTCTGCCATCCAGGAGAGCACTAATGTCTTTACTAGAGGTGAGGCGAGGTGAAATTGGGTTTTACGTCATGCTTGAGAATATTTCGCTCATATGACGACGTGCATGCGTGTGTATGTGTATGTGCGGCTGCTTGTACTAGCCCAGACTTAAGCTGGTTTTATAGTGCTAGCCCACTGAGATACCATGCCGCATTGAAGCATCAATACCCCACTCAGACACATTATACTGACCAGTCCTTGTTGTACCCATTAATGCCGAGCGCCAGGCAGGGACCAACAAGTACCATATTTTAACGTCTTTTGGTTTGACGCGGTCGCGGATCGAACCCGCGACCTTCCGCTCTCCGGGCGGACGCTCTAACCACTACACCACGGAGGTGGTCTCTTTACTAAACAGGTTATATACACCAGAGAGCTAACAGACTCTACACTGTTGGCAGACAACCCGTGAAGATCCGGGTTAGAACTGGTCTTCGGCAACCTAGGCTTCATGCCTCTACAGGACCTATCCATAAGCATTCAATGGCACGAATAACAAATATAACATGTCACGAACAGGCCATTTAACGGACAGTTTGTGACAACACACGAACATACCCTCATCAACGATTTGGTTTATTACATTTTCAAAATAGACGAATTACCGGGAATTGTTCGGAGGTAAATATATTGTAAGAACATTAATCTTTAAAATATATCGATATCAAAGGAAACGGTGTTTGGCGGGCGTTCTATTTTCTTCTTGTTTATTATGCAGGAGAAAATATTTCCACTCCCAAAACATGATATCTGAGATATTTTTGGACGCATTCCTCTCGACAGGAAGCGTTACTACAGTGAATCGATTTGTCAGGGGTCTCGTTTACTGAGTCAGTCGACGTTACCAGTCCACCCGATCCTAAATATTGATTTAAGAGGCGGAAACAGAGACAGGTGACGTCACAAGTCATTTCTTCAATTAATTTTGAAAGAGTTGATATCGACCTTGCCCGGTATGGTTTTGTTTCAGCAAATGTTTCACAACTAAATGCTGCTTCACACACTCACAAACTTCAACACACTAGAACCGAAACGGAAAGCATTATTTTGAATACCATCATCATATCTTTGGAATCACTTATCAATAGTAAAATATGCATAATATTCAAAACCGATCTTTGTAGTTATTTGTCACTAGTAATTAAAAGCATTCATGACTCTATCATATGATCTTAGCATTTATTTGTAAATAGTTAAAGAATGAATACCACTATCATCAATCTTTGTAGTAATTAGTCAATAGTAAAATAATTAATGACACTTTCATCTGATCTTTGTAATTATTTGTCAACAGTAAAATATATTATAACAGTGTCATAACTTTGCAATTATAAGTCAATAGTAAAGACATGCCTACACTGTCATCCGATCTCAATAAATGTCTGGGCGGAGGGGGTGGCCTAGTGATTAAAGCGTTGGCTCGTCCCGCCGAAGACCAGGGTTCGAATCCCCACATGGGTACAATGTGTGAAGCCCATTTTTGGTGTCCCCCGCCGTGAAGTTGCTGGAATATTGCTAAAAGCGGCGTAAAAACCAAAACTCAGTCAGTCAGTCAATAAATGTCTATATCAATATCAAATTCATTAACGACATTCAATCATAACGTCAAGTCGTACGTGATGTTTGACATTATGAATTAATTATAGATAAATCACGAAATAAAATTTTTGCTAGTATTAGATTGAAAGATGCACTTAACTGATATTTCTTTTCAGGACAGTTACTGGAACTCTATACAAGCTATGAAATGTAATCTTTGTATAATAATGTAACGATAGAAATGACGTTTGAACGGTGACACATGAAAATTGTGGAAGCTGAACATGAATTAACACAGAGTGGTGGCATTATCTTGACTGCAACTTCCTTATCCGCCTGGTTGTGTCGTCATCGGTCTGACGCATGGCAATAACAATGATCAGCTCCAGATCATGGTCGATAGCCACAGACGTCGTTGTCACTTGACCAGCTGTTGACGTAAATCGTCGTGGAGCTGTGCGCCTAGTGTTTCTACCATACCACAACGGAGAGCAGTGAGTCGCACAGTCCCTGAACGATATTCACCCTTTCGCCTTTCTACAGAGCAAAATCCTAAAATTAACAAGTCTAATTTTGCCTGAGGTTCAGCTCACTTGGCCTTTTATTAAATTGAAATATAAATTTCGTTCTGCAAAAACATATGTATCTTCAGAGTCTAAGCGTTATAATTATATTTTATTTAATTTCATCCCTAATGAAATAGATTTTTTCATTATGCCAAAATGTATGTATTTTAGAGTGTAAGCGTTAATTTAAACCGTGAGTACACAGCCCATTTCTGGTGTCTCCCGCTGGTATTTTGCTAAAAGCGGCGTAAAACCATATTCAGTCAGTCATTACGACGTGACGTCAAAATTGTTCCTTGATCAGTCGACTTACAAGTCTGTATCGATGATTACAATTAATTCTGTTTATGTAAATAACAACATTACTGTAATGTGTTATTGTTTTAATCCTCGGCATGGTTTAATGTGTTGGGGCGGTGGGGTAGCCTAGTGGTTACAGCGTTCGCTTGTCACGCCGAAGACCCTGGTTCGATTCCCCACATGGGCATAATTTCTGGTGTCCCCCGCCGTGATATTGCTGGACTATTGCTAAAAGCGGCGTAAAACCCAACTCACTCACTCACTTACTTTAGATGTGTTGTGTCATTTACCAGATATTCGTATTCTAGTTTGCACCAATCTACTTTATGCTTACTTTCATGTGATTTATATTTATGCACTCAGTGGATTCATTTATTAGTTTCTAGTAAACAACCGGACATAAATATGTTTTCACTTGAAAATGTGGTGTCACCAAAAACTTACTTACGCTGAAACATAACTATTATACTTGTATCAATTATCACCTCATCAAATAAACATACCTTGTTGGTTCATTATATTCATCATTGATGCTCATGTTGTTGATCACTGGATTGTCTTGTCCAGACTTTATTATTTACAGACCGCCGCCATATGGTCATGATGACATTATAACCAATCCCAATTTGATTCCGTTTAAGTACATGCTAACCCGTGAAGATCCGGGTTGGAATTGATCTTCAGTAACCTATGCTTGTTGTAACGGGGTCGGATGGTTAGACTCGCAGACTTGGTTGACACATGTCATCGTATCCCAATTGTATAGATCGATGCTCATGTTGTTGATCACTGGATTGTCTAGTCCAGACGCCAGATTATTTACAGACCGCCGCCATATAGCTGGAACATTGCTGAACGCGGCGTTAAACAACCAACCAACCAAGTCATCATCAAACATGACGTGTACTTTCTTTTGCTCTTCAGTGTTTTTGTATATTGATTAAATAACTCAATAAAATATCATACATTGTCAAGAGATTATGAACTAGTCTCTGGAGTATTCATATACATTATTTATATGTTATTTGATTAAATGCATAAGTCATTAAACAACGAGGATGCCACTCAAAACAAGTTTGCATAAGTCATTGCGTGCGAAGGGAGGTATCTGCTCAGCTTTCGATAGCGCATGTAATCCGATCCCAGGAGTATTGATAAATACTTTGTCTAAGTGCCCACTGATTCCCAAGGCAGACACCTCTGGATCTCGCAGTACTCATCTCCCATCGTAAAGGCACCTGTCTCGTCGACATCAATCACGCTGTATCACGTTACAGATCCCGTCATAACATCGCCGTCAGTGACCTAAGACTTAACTACATGCAGTGTCTCTTTATACGGCGGTATCCGCGGGCCTCGCTGTAAGGAAGACACACGCCTCCTGGCGAACAGGTCGCTCACGGCGGGACGGAGTGCAGTTCAGGATCACAACGCCGTCAGACGTCATGGATGTTGGCTGGAGCTGGTTGTGTCTGACCATATTTTTCTCATCCATCTCTTATATCTTTTGTAGTGCAGGTAGGTCACAATCTTTATCTATTTAGACCACCCTCTTTATCTGTTTCAATGATTGCTATATTTTTCAATTATTGTCTTATGCGAAGAAGCACCGGAATGTTTCGTGTTCATAATGACGTGTTGGTATACTAAGTAGTGTAGTGTTACAGTTACATGCTCCTTAATGCAGTTGGACGGATGGATGGATGGATGGATGGATGGACGGATGGATGAGGGACAGATATTTAGAGAGACATAAACATGCATACTCACACTCAAACGCACATGCATGCATACACACATAGATGCATACTTACATGCATGTATACATACATACATACATACATACATACATACATACATACATACATTTACATACATACATGCATTTATACATACATACATACATACATACATACATACATACATACATACATACATACATACATACATACATACATACATACATACATACATACATACATACATACATACATTCGCCATCATACATTTACATCAAACGCTAAATTCACTTCACCTGAAGAGTCTTTCTGTGTTCATTTATTTCATATGCAATTGCAGAAATCAGATTTATACATTCTTAAATAAGAAACGTATATGCCACATTTAAATATGTTTAGTGTGGTGGCGATGGCCACATGTTATGTAAACATAGTGGAAAAACTGATTATCCAGTCCCAAGATACGCACGTGCGTGCAGCGCGCGCGTGTTTGTGTTTGTGTGTGTGTGAAGTGGGAGGGGGTGGTGTTTCGATCAGTACCTGGTGAGAACTCTGGGTTTAATTATCACTCTTCAAGACCTTCTTGGCATAGTCTGAATACGTGTCTGGTTTCTTACCTGTGGAAGTCGCTTCTGTTCGTCATGCAACGAATTGGTCAGTCATGCAGGTGGCTTAAGCGTTCATTAAGAGTCTTAAGAGTTCATACCATGGATGCTCTATCAGGTTCAGATCCAGAGACTGCGAAGTCCATTGCAAACCATTCATGTATACCTTTAGAAAGTGAACAGTTACACGAGCTGTTGAGTTGCTATATTGAAACAACTCCATCCAAAAGTTATGTTGAGGATGTTGATTGATGCACCTTTTGGTCGATGTACCGATTCCCCTGAACCCCTACCAGGTCAGATCTCTCCCAACAGATCAGATCTCTCCCTGTCGTCCTGTCGACGTCTGTAACGTCCGGAACGACCGTGTGTAATTGGCAAGTTCGAATTTGGAATTAGGCAGAGTATTATGACACGAAGTCTTCACGTTTTACAGCAGATAACAATCCCGACATCGACAGGAAGGCATCTGGCGTACAAGACCCTTTCATCACTACGACTGTGTTACGAAACCGTGGTGAAAAGTATCTTACATTGGAGATGAGCTTCACAGACCTACAGGTGTTAAAGTGAAACAAGCAGACGCTTCGTAAATGGCTACATAGGTGGAACTTTCATGTCAAACGTCCACGTGTTATCTCACGACGTCGTTGGAGCATTTAACGTTGCGAAACGTTACGTTTTTGGAAGAATGACGGACAAAATGTTTTGGATGTGGCACATTCATGGTGTCTGATAAGATCACTATAACTGGCTGAACATCTTTACATTCACTCACGTGTCACTGGGCAGTACTGCCGTGACGACATCCTGGATGCACACGTGGTGCCATTTGCGTGGCGGCATTGATGTCGTTTTGTTTTCAGGGTGGCAAGAGTACAAAGTGCTCGAATTGCTGTTGGGTACCCTTACAACGGTCAGCTCTCAGTCCAGACTTGTCACTCATCGAGCATATTTCTGGGACGTCCTTGGATGGCGCGTACGCCGCCAACCATTCTCAACGAACTGGCCACCGTCCTCTCGGAAGAATGGGATCGAATGTTGACATTATATCTAACATTATTTCGAGTGTGCCTCGCCCAATCCTGGATTGTCTTGAGAATACAGGCGGATTCAGTCTGTATGAATGACTTGAACTACCTTGACGGATGTTTGTTGTTTGTTGCCCTCGGCAATGTTCCAGCTATATGGTGGCGGTCTGTATCTCTCTGGACCAGAACATCCAGTGATCAACAACATGAGCCTCGATCTACGTAATTGGGATACGATGACATCTGTCGACCAAGTGAACGAGCCTGACCACCTGTTCCCGTTTGTCTCCTCTTACGACATGGACTACTGAAGACCAGTTCTAACCCGGATCACCACTGATCGATGTGACGGACAGTATGACGCTTTGGCCAATCACCTAACAAAATCTGATATCATCTGACGTTAAATAAGATGTCCCAGATATTGTTGAATCATGTCTTGATCTTCCGTGACTGGAAATGTTCATGTGTGTATAGCTGAATATAGGAACGGCACAGTACAGGATAAATCAAATCAGCATTTTCAAGGTCCGCATATCATGCCAGTTACCGAGCTAAGAGTGTTTGCAGATTAGTCCCTTTGTCAATAACAGCTGTATATACTTCCCCCCAGTGTATCACAATACAAGCTTATTCAGTGTGATTCCGTGATAGCTGTAACTACCCGTTAGATACTAGTAACGTAATCACGTCCCGTTTCCCGTAACACGTGTCACTGCGGTCATTACCACGATGACCTAATGCATGTTACATCGGGTGTCCCCCTTGCTGGGATACGAGGACATTTAATCTGCTACGTCACCGAGCCTGGTAACCCCCACCATTTAGACTGTACAAGCAATAGAGTGATGGGTAGAAAATGATAGTGAACACTACTACTTCTTCTGCTGCTACTGCTACTGCTACTGCTGCTGCTGTTGTTGCTACTACCGAGACTGATACTACTACTACTACTACTACTACTACTACTACTTCCACCCACAACCACTAGCACTATTGCAGCGGCTGCTGCTGCTACTTCTACTACTACTACTACTACTACTACTACTACTACTACTACTACTACTACTACTACTATTACTACTACTAAAACTACCACCCGTGAAGATCCGGGTTAGAATATTGATCTTCAGTAACCCATGCTTGTCGTTAGAGGCGACTAACGAGATAGGGTGGTCAGGCTCTCTGACTTGATTGACACACGTCATCGTATTCGTACTCCGGAACGTGGCATCTACTGCAATAAAGAATAATATATCCATAAAAACGTGTTCCTCTTCATCATACCAGCTTCTAAATGTCACTTAAATAAGCCCAAATGACTACTTCTACTGCTCCTGCTGCTACTTCTACTACTACTACTACTACTACTACTACTACTACTACCTACTACTACCTACTACTACTACTACTACCCACTACTACCTACTACTACTACCACTACCTACTACTACTACTACTACTACTACTACTACGATACTTCTATCGGTACAACTGCTGCTGATACTACAGTTTACTATAACAGTTACTACAGCTACTATTGTTTTACAGATTATGGTAAAATTCCAGCAGAGAGGGTTCGGGTGATCCTAGCACTGTCAGGATGGTAAGCTAATCATCAGCTCAGGGCCCTTGACGCCTCTATACACAACCCAGACAGCGAATGGGACTTCTCCCAGGAAACGCTGCCTAGTCGAACCCACCAAGAACTTTCCGGAGAATATATAGACTCCCCAACACCAATTGTCAAGAGTGTTAGAAGGGCCGTGCTCCCAGTGGAGAACCCGGACACTCTCCTGATCTCCGCCAAGAGATCAGGAGGTACTAAACCAAGGGCACCGAGAACAATGGGGAGCCTGACGACAGTGTACTTGTGATGCAAGCGAGATATTTCAAAGGCGAGGCATATTCAGCATGTCTTTCCTGAATCTTGCAATTGCCAATCACGTTGCTCTCAAAAGGGACAGAAAATTCAATGATATACATACATTCATTGGCCTTATCAAAGTGGACAAGATGAGATTTGTTGGCTGGAATTCTTCTGAGGTTCTATGTGGGTCTATTCAAAAGAAGTTTCAAAGCATCATTTTCAATGACGCCCTGGACGTCTTCTGGGTCGTACCATGGATGGACCTCGGAGTCAAAGCTACAGACATGGCGAATACGGTAGTAGAAGCAGCGAGCCATGCCATCATGTCTTTTAAGATATGCTGTTGGTGCCAAGGAAGGGCATCCACTAATAAGGAGTTGGCCAGTCTCTGTGGATTCATTACCTGTTCTGATGACATTGCACTGGTTACCCATCCGACAACGTATCCATTACAAAATATTGGTACTGATGTTCAAAGCCTTGCACAACACTGCACCAGTTTATCTCTCAGACCTTGTGCAAGAATATAAACCAACACGTCACCTGAGGTCATCACAACAACACATGTGCCAGACTGTAGTCTGCCGGACCAAGACATATGGTGAAAGGTCTTTTCAGGTTGCCGGCCCAGCTATGTGGAACAAATTACACCTCTCTCTTCGATCAGGAGAGACATTCAGTACTTTCAAATCCAGATTAAAAACTCACTTGTTCAGCATTGCATACGGAGTTCAGCAGCGCTCTTGATATTAGCGCTATATAAATGTATATCAATGTAATACAGTATCGACATTTCATGTTAATATTTTCTTCAAGAAGCATATTTAGGCGACTGCGAGTGGGAAGTGACTGGTCTTGAGCCTGCTGCTATTGTTATTATTATTATCATTTCTACTGATATTAATACCATGCTGCAGCTGCTGCTGCTACTGCTGATACTATCAATAATACACATCCGTTAACAAACATTATCAAATACTGACTCAAACGATCAAATTGGGCTTCAGCCTTTATTCCTTCAATATGAAAACAGACAGCCATGCACGGATGAACATGTACCCAATATATTCAAGCCCCGTTCACAAACGTGTTGTTCTCGTACACACTTGTGGTGTTCCGATTAATAATTGAAATATTTGAAGATTGGTCGCAGTGACCAAACGACCAAGCAATCGATCACATTTTCTCATAATCGAACATAAACGAGTTTTGAACTACTTTTTTAGCCTTTGAAATACTTGACAATGGAACATATCGTTGAAGTTGTCAGTGC